TGTTATATATATATATATATATAAAATATTCAGCAAAATTGTTGACTGCAATTTGCTATATATATATATATATATATATGTATATATAACAAATCTAATTTCTACTATTTCCAGGCGTGGGTCATATGGTCGGTGCCGGAATTTATGTACTAACGGGAACGGTTGCGCACGATACTGCTGGACCCGGAGTGATCTTTAGCTTTCTTGTGGCTGGCTTCGCTTCCGTTTTGGCTGCGCTTTGTTACGCCGAGTTAGCTGCCCGAGTGCCGAAGGCGGGTAGCGCGTATGTCTATACTTACGTCTCCGTTGGCGAATTTTGGGCCTTTATTGTAGGATGGAACCTCATCTTGGAGCATATGATCGGTACGAGCCTGTTTCTTGTACAAAACTTAAAGGCTCAGGAAAGAAAAAAATGAATTAGATAAATCACCCTGGAAAATTTAATTCTTTGAATTCTTTATATAATTTTTCAAAATTTTTATGTACATTTCAGAATTTTTTCGTAATTTTGTATAATTTTATAATTTTTTAGAAAATTTTTTAATATGAATTCTGAAATATTCTAAATTTCTCAATTTATAATTTATAATATTTCCAAGAAAAATTTGTAAGATCTGAAGAAGTTTAAGGTATTTTTTCCAGAAATATTCATAAATTTTTAATATAAAAAATTCTAAATGTATAAGATATGAGAATTCTTTTTATCTCAAGATAAAATATCAAATTGTTGTAATTAGTAACAGAAAGTAAGAGAAAAAATTAAATCAGATTGATAATTAATAAAAGTTATTTTATCATATTAATTAGGCGCGGCGTCTGTGGCGAGGGCTTGGAGCGGATATGTGGATTCATTGATAGGTGGTGCGATTAGCAATTATACTCGCGATGTGATGGGTGGCTGGACTATGGGAGAACCACTGGGCACTATCCCGGATATTCTAGCTAGCGGATTATGTCTGGCTTACGCGATGCTTTTGGGATTAGGAGTGAAGACCTCAGCGACAGTGAACTCATTACTGACTATCATCAATCTCGTGGTGATGGCACTGGTCGTCGTTCTGGGTATTTATTACGCGGACATTACGAATTGGAGCAGCCAGAACGGTGGTCTTTTGCCATATGGATTCGGCGGCATAATCACAGGTAAGTTATCTGGAGTAGATTGTGTTTAAATAAACACGACGCAAAATATAGATAGATTTGTGATCTCTTTATTAAATACTTAATTATCCAGTAATTGCCCGATAATTACGAACGTAATAGAATTTATATATATAAAGAAAATAGTTTATATTATTTTATACACGTGTATTTGAATTAAAAGGACTTAATTACTGAAAGGAGTTAATTAAGATCCTTGACACATTATTCAGGTGCAGCAACGTGTTTCTACGCCTACGTCGGTTTCGATTCGATCGCGACTTCTGGAGAGGAGGCTCGCGATCCAGGACGGAGTATTCCGTTGGCGACGATACTCTCGATGGCGATAGTAACTGTTGGATACATGCTGGTCAGCGGCGCTCTGACTCTGGTCGTACCATATTGGGAGATTAATCCTACCGCCGCTCTTCCGGAAGCTTTTTCATCCAGAGGAATTCCATGGGCTAAATATGTAATAAGGTGATCAATTTGATTTTAATTTCTGATTTAATTAAAATTCTTAAAATATACTAATTAAAAATTGTTTTGTGCAGTGTGGGTGCTCTTTGCGGAATGACAACGACTCTATTCGGATCTCTGTTTTCCCTTCCAAGGACAATGTACTCCATGGCAAACGACGGTCTGTTATTCGGCTTTCTCGGTCGTATCAGCGAGCGCACGCAAGTGCCGGTGTGCAATTTGATCATAAGTGGACTGCTCAGTGCCTTAATTGCTTTACTATTCGATCTCCAGCATCTGGTAGAGTTTATGTCGATCGGAACTTTGCTCGCGTATACTATCGTGGCAATTAGCGTTGTCTTGCTGAGATATCTACCCGACCAACAACTTTCCGATCAATCTAACGTCGTTACACCAAGCAGTGGTTGCTCCTCGCCACCTACGGAGGAAGCAGATTCCAGTAGCATCGCATCTATCAAATCTGAAGTGAGTGCACCGCGAGTACTTTTAATAATTGCTTTATTGAAATTACGATGCCTCAATTGCAGCGTATGATATAATTTCAAAATATTTAGTTTTTGTAAAATGCAAATTTCGACAAAATATATATAAAAATCTCATCATAATATAACATTACGCTAGGCAATTCTTAGATTTTCTGGACAATATTATTAATATGAATCATTTGTATTGAATAGCTGCTGTATGAAGAATCCGGCAGATTTAAGCCGCGATACGCTTGGATAGAGGAATGGCTAGAGGATTACGATACTCGACATGTCATAACCGCTTGTCTAATTATCTATACAATAGCCTGCGCCTTTCTCGGTGCTTTTACGATGGTAGCATTCGAAGTAACAGTCCCGTTCACATTAGGCGATTATCTCTTTGCAGCGACCTATCTTCCATTACCTATTGGGAGTAAGCTTGTTTCAATTTTTTGATATAATAGAAGGAATATTGTTATCAATTTTATTTGTTTGTTGCTTGTTCGCAGGTCTTTTCCTAATTGGCGCTCACAGGCAAAATCCACCCACTGGGAAATTCCGAGTGCCGCTAGTACCTTTCGTACCTGCGTTAAGCATTCTCTTCAATGTGAGCTTGATAATGCACCTATCGTCAATGACATGGTTACGATTTTTCGTATGGATGTCGTTTGGTATGTTGATTATAATCACGCGTCATATGAATAGACATGAATTTTCAATGCAAAATTATAAATTTTAATGAATTCCAATTTCTATAATTTTTTTTGGCTCTTTCTCAGGAATGGCAATCTATTTTCTATACGGGATTCATTATAGTAAAGAAGCCGCCGCTACTCCAAACTCATATTCCGTTTTAATGGCCACCTCAGAAGCTGAAAAAGGCACAAAGTGGGGATCTACGTTACGAGTTAGTCCAAAGAATGACAAAATACCTATTCTGAATGACAAGGAACGTGTTGACTAGAAATAAGTTATACATTTTTATCAATTGTTTTCCTTACCTAGCTCGCCAGTGGAGTCGTGGAAGTAGCTTGAAATTTAAAACTGAAATAATGTTTAAGCTGTTAACAACAACAGACTGTACGTAAGATTGTTATGCAATGCGAATTATATAATACAGTCAATGAAATACAAAACACAACACGTTTAATTTTTAAGTTTTTTTAAATAAGTTTTAATATAGTTTAATATATTGTAGTTAATGCACTCAGCTACTTAAATGCCATAATATTATTTTATATATAAAATCTATTCTATATTTTTCATTTATTCATCACATTTTCTACTTCGGCGGCTCCACTTTACATGTTGCTTGAAATTCAAAGTTTATGGAATATATTTTGTAAATATCATCTTAGAGGACTTTTTAACTCATGCATTTTGAAATTTCCTCGAGAAAATTTTGTCTGGTACAAAAAACTATTTTTGGTACTTAGCTTTATCTTGTTCGACTAATCACGATAGTGATTCTTATAATTCCTATATTTTAAACTCGTATTTTTACTTCTTAACTCGATCAACGAATGTTATCGCTTTTTAGATGACTATTATTATTATCGCAAATGATGTGTTTTATAAAACATTATGTGTTGTCAGTACTTGTTGCTAGTATGAACTTGAAGAGTCTTAAGCCTATTCTACAATGTGCTTTTTGTTTCCAGTTTCTTTGCTTTTTTTATGTTGTCTTTTTGCTTCTTATTCAGTTTTTTGTTTTATATACTCACCTGAGATAAGAATTAATGAACTTCGAAAGAAACAAGAAATACAATTATTGATAAAATGGTTGCAAAAAAGTTAAAAGCAAAAAATAAAAAACAAGAAATAAAGAATATATTGTAGAACAGTTTTAGTTTATCTGTTTTATGTTTTATTACGCACAAACAAATTCAAACATCGATGGGAACTCATCGAATTTTCTCTTATTTCGCGTAGCTTGATTTAATATAAGTATCAATTAAGAATCCTGCGATAAAACATTTTTTTTTCGTCATTCCAAGAATGACCAAAAGCAAATATTTTGTTATCAATTAAATTAAAACTTAATAAATAATTTCAATAAATTGATATTCTAATTTGGTATAAATTTATGTTCGCGTAATTGAATTTAGAATTGTGTCTTCAAAACGGGTAGATCTAATACAAAATATAGAAGTTATGAATCTCATTCTTACAGCAATTTAGATTAAGATAATTTATATATATATATATCTTTTTTTTAACACACACACACACACACACACACACACACACACACACACACACACACACACACATATATATATGTTAAAAATATGTATTACTCGTTCTTTTAATTTATCAATCAATTTACTGCGTAAAGCTGAAGAGATAAGGACGCAACACATGCTTCGTGAAAGATTTCTACTAATATCAAAGATATTATATTTATTATATGTGTAATAGATACTTTACGTGATGCATTATTGTTTATTAATCTATAGTTATCTTTATTAATTTTATTAATCTACAATCTGTATGCATTATATACACGTTTTGTTGGATGATGGATATAATCGCATGGTGTTGCGTGGAAAGTATTCATATAACAATATATACATAATATCGATGTGTTAACGGTAAATTCGTCGAGCTGCTACAAGACGATAGGCATGCTTAAACGACGTATAGTTTAGTATCCAGATGAATTTATTTATTAAGAATTATTTATATTTTTTAATGTAAAAATAAGTGATAAATATAGATTAGCAATGCAAGTCTTCAAAGCAACATAGAGCGATATATCGCTTATTTGTTACAATAACGACATAACTTAAAAATTATCAGTTTTAAATTATTTGCAAAAAACGAATAAAAACAAAGAGAAAAAAACATACTTTAAAAGAATTTTATTCCTCTATGTTCAATTTTATAATCGCAAAGTTATAAAATTGCAAAGTTGCATTTTAAAATTAATATTACAAAATTTTAATGATCAAAACATTTAAACTGTCTGGAAAACTTTGTTTTTTTAGTTATATCGTTATAGCAGTAAGTAAGCGATATATTCTGCAACTAATTATTATTGCAATTAAAATGCGGATTCGTGTACAAAGTGATCTCGAACAGGGACATTAACAAACAAACGATTAAAAGTCCAAGTTTTATTTATAAAAATATTTCTCAGGCATAATTCTCCGCATCTTTCTTCAATAACTGAAACTTGATACAAAATCTTGCATGTAGATGTACATAAAAATAATCGCGTATAACCGAAAATTTAAATTTCTCACAGTTAATACAAATGTAATACACTCGTGTAATTAAATGTCGTTATAGTAATATACGATATTGTTCTCATGTAACACATTAACCGTTATAATATCCACGTGAGTGACGCAAAAATATTTAAAGTGACTATACCTGATTACTCGTATTCATACCTGATATTTCATCTTCATGGCTGTGACTGCGTTTATTTCTCTATATTGCCGTCAGGAGAGTACAAAAAAAGTTGAAATAAAACATATACACATCAGCTCCAATTTTTTATATGAAAAATTTTTATTAACATCCTGCGTTATATGTATTTCGTCATGCGTTCATTATGCATAAAATACTTTTAGATATATTTACAATAGAGAAACTGCGAACACGCGTCGCATATGTCTTCTGTTTTACAAAACTTCTATGAAATATCTGTAAGTATTCCGTGCAAAATATTATTATTTGAAACAATACGCTATTCGCAGAGAGATAACAAATTGTAAGTTTATGCGCGTATACAAATTTTATCTAAATGATACATACAATAACGTCTCGTAAAAAAATAATATATTCCGTTTCTGTTGTGATGCGTCGTATTCGGAAAACATTTGACTCGTTGACAAATAAATATGCTTATATAACAAATATATATACGGAAAAATGTATGTTGCACAATACATATTTCCTTATATATAATAAATAACATTTTACTAATGTTAAATATATATATTATATAATTCTATATATTTTTTAAATATTTTAATATCACTAAATTAATTCGAATCAATGAAATAAGGTTAATAACAATTAGAGAGATCTTTTCAATTATGCACGGAATGTTATTCATTTTACATTATATGATATTATATTAAGTTTTCTCTTCGTGGGGCCTGTATTATATATATTCTATAATAGATATTGCCTCCCGAGGCGAATGGATCGTTATCGATTCACCTCGCGCACATTCTCTAAATTGGAACACTTGGTAAATGTATAGGAAATGATGTATGCATATGACCCACATATGGGTAAATATATATAGTGTGTCCATATAGTTCCTACGGGAATCCGTGAATCAACACGATCATTCAATAAACTAGATTAGATTTTACCTTAATTTGTAGTGCAATAATTACAAAGTTATTAATTTCTTTTAACACTTCTCAATGTGGACATTCTTGATGGCACCAGCATAAACAGTAATGATTAATTATGAGTAAATTATAATAAATTGTCTTAATAATTCCATCTGATCTAGAGGAACTACAGGATACACTGTATATGCAACGGCAAGTTGAAGAGAATTTCCTAATAATTTTACAGGTACCAATGTTAATTTATAACACTGTGCTGATATGTTACCTGTTGTTACGGGTAAGTACAATTTTCCAAGCGGACATCGGTTTCGCTTGTAATATATTAATTTTTCTACGACCCCATCTAAGCCAAGAGAAACCTATGATTAAGCAGAGAATGCTCTCTATGTAGTAACCATCGAGTTGCATAACACAAACACCATTATTGGTATTTGCACAGAGCTGAAAATAGAATAAATAATTATGTTAATGATCTCTTTATCTATAATAGAACTTTAAAAAAAGATAGTCGCAACCAACCTCTCTCTCCGTAATTGTGCTACAGTCATTTGCATAATCGGTACTGCATTGTCTAAATGTTAAGGGATCGACAAACCAAAGTGCAGCCGTGGCAGGCCAATTTCCACCAAGATTGCATAAAGTATTCAGTAATGTCATGTATGTTCCGCCAACTGCCGGATCACTCACTTTTGCGAAGAAAGCCATCGATGCCACAAACATACTACTTGCAGAAATCTAAAGTATAATAAGAAACATTATATACAATCAATAACTCCAAGTTGGACATCAATTAAAGAAATCCATACTCTGTATAACATTTACCTGATGTATAAAGTATAAACCTATCAATACCACAAAATAATAAACTGGAACGTATCCATTAATTACAATGAACGGTGTAACCCACACCAAAAACGCCGCTATTAAGCCAAAAGCCAACCTGTATTATATAAATTTATAACTGTCAGCCAATTAAAATCTTTATTGTCATCTATAAATTATATATTGATTACCTATAGGGCATAGCTTTCATATAAACATCCATAGGTCTGGGTCCAGCGGTATATTTCGAGATTATTAATGGTAAAATTATTTGTAACGGTATCATGGGTACGGCCATAAAAGCAAATTTCTCTTTGGGAAAACCGGCTTCTATAAGTTTTAAACTGGTTACCGCATCGCATGCAGAAAATCCGATCTGCAGAATAGAACAATCAAATGAACATAACGAAATTTATGCTACAAATTATAATTGCAAATTATAATATTTAACCTTTGCAGTTAAGAGAAATATAATCGTGGTCTTTATGGCTGGTAATTTAACTATGTCCCATAGCAGTTTGTATGCATGCTTAATATCCATATTTAGCTCTTCGCCCTTTGAAATTCTGCCTTTATCTTCATGTTTGAACAACGCAATAAACGTTGTTGTAACAATAAACGTCCAACCCCAAAAATACAAAAATCCTAAAAATAAAATATATTCGTTTACAGCCCAAATATATATTTTATATATGAAGATATTAATCTTTTCAATTGCTTATCTTACCGGGTAAAGTTAGTATGCCTTCATCAGAAGGGATTGACCTCAAGTAACTGTTGCAAAATTCAGCGGACTCCAGTGAAATAAATAAAACATAGCCAATAAAATAGCCCGCCGTTTGACCGACGCTATTGCAGGTAGACGCATAGCCAACGTTGCACCTTGATAAATAAATTAAAATTAAACAAGCTTCAAGCTTGAAAATATTGCTGACGCATATACACATTTAGATATTTCAGAAGTACCTTTTAAGCATTGTAAGTGCCCATCCATCTACTACAATATCCTGAGTCGCGGCGAGTACGTTTAAGGAGAAAAATAATGCAGTCAACATTTCAATATTGGGCTTTTCATGTTCCTTTCCCAACCAATGATCTACGTAATTTGACAAAAGAAGCATGAATAAACCCATCAAATATTGAGTAGGAATCAACCAAGTTTTTCTCCTTCCAAACTTTTGGGAAAAAATGGAGTCTACCAAGGGCGCCCAAAAGAGTTTCAACGAAAACGGCCATTGTACAAAACTAAATTCTGCCTATGTCAACAAGAAACATATATAAAAGATACATTACTTTCCGTATAAA